CTGACTGTTATGATGGTGACATGAATTTATATAGTTGTTAAAACTCACAGAACATCAGACTTCAAAAGTCAAATTTTAAAAATAAAGTACAATAGGACAAATGTCACCAATTGCTATCACTGTTCCTGTAGCCACTAATAACTGCTTCCGTTCTCAACTCTCCACCCCCTAATTTCCCATGGATTTCTCTAAGTCTTAAAATTGTCCAAAGATCACTATCTGGAAACCTTGTCTTATAAAATTATAACAAAGGGTCCATATTTCTATTCCTAGAAGGGATTCTTTTCCCTGTACCACATCCATCCATGTAGTCACAATGCTTGTCTCTATAGCCTGATGTTTTTCCTGAACAAACTTTTTCACATGGGAAAAAGAAATGTTGCTGTGTCCCAGCAATAATATCCACAAATCCTGGGAAATGCTGGACAGGCATCTATCACGACACAACAAGGGGCACACTCAGCCCTTCCTTGGAGATGCGGCCTTGGTGTTTTCCCACCATATGCATCCTAGATTGTTTAGTGATGGCCCCTGAAAGCTGTCTGGTTCAGAATTCTGAGTACACAGAAGCAGCCTACCACATATGAGCTCCAAGAGATGCCACCAAACAAATACACACAAAAAAGCTGTGGGAGAGAAGCCGGGTATGGTGGCATACACCTGTAATCTCAGCACTCAGGAGGCTGAGGCAAGAGATTTATGGGGAGTTCAAGACCAGCCTGGGCTACAAAGTGAGTTCAAGGCCATCCTGAACTGTATAGTAAGACCCTGCCTCAAAAAGACAAAGAAAAAAAAAAAGCCGTGGGAGACTGAATCTCCACCAGTGGTCTGCCCAAGAAAAATGGTAAGATATGGCTTCCATTTTGCTGATGTTTCTGGGATAATGCATGCTGGACTGGCCTCTCTGGTTTTCTAGAAGCCCCTGGAACCCCCTAGAAGCTTCTGGAAGCCCTAGGAAATTCACAGGCAGTTATAGGCCCTGCTTATGGGCTGGAAAAACTCAGGAGAAAGTAGAGATCCTTCCTTGCTTTATCTCACCATACACTTCCTCACTTCTCCTTGCTGAGTGGGGTGTTACCCAATAAAAGAGCATTTTGTAAGCAAACCATTCATCAGAACTCCTAATTAAAAAGTTGGAAGGTATAACACTGGAGCTAGTTTTTTCATCTTCTGACACCTCATTAACCTCATCACTGGTCTTCTGTTGAGGGAAGGAGGCTCAGGAATTCTCCACAGTATCTATCCTTATGCTTGAACAAAAAAACAACCAGCAATGCTTTTCTTAAAAAAAAAAAATGACCTCCGCCATGTGATCCTGAGAGATTGCCAGATCACGAACCAAACAGGAAGGACATGACAAGAAGAGGAAAATCTACTTAGACTTGCCTAAATTTAGGAATATCCACTTTTACCCAAAGGAGGAGAAGGAATTAGTAACCCATTTTTCATAGGCCTTTCGAGTACAGAGGAAGATGATTCCCAACTTCTCTCCACAGAAAACAGCTAAGAATAAATATCTAGGGATCTGAACTGCATTGTGATCCAAAAGCTGCACATTTTGTAAATTTTGAATTGAGCCCTTTTGAGTGCTCTTTTTTTTTTTAACTCAACTGCAAAACCAAACTTTTATTTTAAATACATAAATAAGCCTTAGGGACACACAGTTCATACTGAAACCAGGTCCATTTCTTTTCTGCGACTGCTGAATTGAAACACAGAAGAATTCACCCAACTGAACTGATTTTTTCAAGTCTTGTCTCTGGTATCATGGAAAGGGGAAGAAACCAGGCTCTTCTGGAGCAAGGAATCCAACTCTACTTTTCTCCTAGTGAGACTATGGTAAGACTTATAAAAAGGAGATGGGCCCAGCTGGTCTCACAAAGTGCAGGGACAATGCCTCAGACCAAGTCTTATCTGAATCTATGACATTCTCATCTGCTCACAAGAAGCAGAATCATTTCCTTGTTGGTTCACCCCAAAGAGAAAGTGATGGAGCCTATTTTTAAAAACTCAAGAAATCAAGAAGCCAAAAGACAGATTCTAACCCTTACCTATCTTGCTGGACCTAGAACAAGTCAACAGGGCTATGACACTGGCACCCTGTCACTTGGGTCTCTCCAGAAAGTTCTAATAGGCACTTTGCAGCTTGAACACATGAGCAGGGACATTGTACATGGTACATACATAAGTCGAAATATCTTATTTCACCTAAATAGGAATTAAGTGGACAGACTGCTAACAAGGAATACCAATGTGTCTTGTAAATGAGGACACTCTGGATTAAAAAGGCAGAAACCATTGATACTTGGAACAGAGAGCATGCGTACTGACCAAGGCTATCCCTGGGAAGCAATGAAGTGGCCCAGGCTTGGCCCACGCCCTCAACATTGTGTGTGCACAATTGTGTGTACTGGGCGTTGAAACCAGGGCTTTGTATATGCTACATAAGGATTCTACCATGGACTACACCCTGTTCCTTTTTAGTTTGACACAGAGTCTTGTTAAGTTGCACAAGCTGGCCTCAAACTTGCAATCTTGCCTTCCAAGTATAAGGTGTGGTCAGAAAATATAGTGTGTGCTTAGATTTTATCACAGCAAAAGACACACTGCCATTGCCAAAATACTTTCCTTTGCTTCAAATATACTGTTCCATCGTTCTAGTCATGTAGAAGCAGTTCTACAAATCCTCTTTCATGAGTGTCTTTGTGCTGTCAGGGCCTCCTCAGTGTCCTGAAGGTATTTACGTTCATGGCCATTTTCACTTTGGGGACATACCAGGAGTCACAGGAGGCCAGACCCAGCCAGTAAAGGGGGACAAGGACACACTGTAATATTTTCACAAGGCTGCCTCTCCACTGGTAGCAGCATTCACCATACTTTTTATCACACCCTGTAAATACACTAATGCAAGCGGATCTCCAGAACTGCTTCAAAAGTGGCATGATTGTCTCCCTAGTGCAAAAAAACTGAAAGAGTAAAAAAGACCCAAATGTCCAGTAGATATTGTGGAAAGGAAAGCGAAAGAAAGTACTTGAAACACAAGAACAACTGGGATGGGGAAAGGAGAAAAGAGAAAAGAGAGAAGGGAGAAGATTTTATAGACAGACAGACAAATAGATAACTACACCACTAATCTGTCAGTTTATCAAAAAGAAAAGTTTATGCTTTTGTTTTCATGTTTTCATCATTTTTTCATTCCTAACTTTTGTAATCTAGACAACTACTTTGAGGATAACACTATGCAATATATTAATAGTATTAATTTCCTATTATTGTGCTTTGAAATTCTGTATCATAGTTTTTATTTTTTGTTTTGTTTTTAAATTAAAAAAAATAAAAGAAAGTAGTATGAACAATGGTATAAGTGTGTTTGAAGCAAGGAGGACAATTTTGAGGGGGCCTAATGGCAATATGTCTTTTACTAGAATATATTTTTAAAATATAAACATTTGCCATATTGTCAGTCACCCTGAATAGCTGATACTATAAGCACGTGCTACCACAGCAAGCTCGGGCTCAGCATCCTGACAGTCAGTCTCTTTTGGTTGGCTGTCCTCTCTCCTTCTACATATGGCCTACTCTTGGCCTCCACTCGCCTTGGGCAGCTGGAGCTACTCTCACACCTTCAGGAAGATTTCAAGGTTAACTCCCAACCCGCGTCTGCAGCTTCTCTTGGGAGGTGCGGACCATTACGTTAGCTACCACTGGACTCCGACCTGTGCGTAGTCTGCAGACACTCTAAGCAATTAGTCTACCTTCCCTTCAGACTCAAAGCTGCTCTTTTCCTGTTTTCGCTCATGAAAATTCTTAGCTCCAAAGTAAAAATTACTCCAAAACATTCCTGTGATACTTTCTGACTCTCTACATGAACAGATTTCCAGGCAGGAAGCCAGAGGGTAATCACGCTGTATCCATGTACCTGTTCACCCCTGGGGCTGGATGGACAAATATGGGGAGGGGAAGTTAGTGGTGGTGGGTGTGAGGCCAGGGCAATGGGGGAAAGTTTCCAGGAGACAGGAAATGGCTCTTTGAAAGGAGAGGCTGGTCACATGCTCCCCCTCAGAGTCCAAGTGCTTTCAATATTTATGCTTACTGTAATTGTTTATGAGACCTACCTACCTTATTGTTTACAAGATAAGACTGTTACAAATGCACATGGAGTTAGCTTAACAATTCAGGACAGCAAAGTCTCCTCGTCCCTAAATAAGACTCAGAACCTTCTAGAAAATGAGAGAGCAGTTTCTAGAAGGACTGAATGTCCAGCAGGCTCATTCTTGACCCCTGACTTCCTGACCCTTCTTTAAGGGTTTTCAGCTGTGTCTGGCCACCGTCTCCAGTAGAAGCACACACAGAACCCCCTTTCTCGTTTCCCACTTATGCCTCAGACCAGCTGGCAACTTTATAGAGGAAACAAAAACAAAGAACAGCTATTTCCTCACATTTGTTTTCAGGACTTGAAATCTAGACATAATTTAATCATCAAATCCTATCTCACTCCTATTATAAATGAAGAAATGAGGAAACTCACTTATAGTTTCCAAAGAGAAAACTGTCCAAGGAAGCTGTTGAAGGGCCCAAGGCCACAAAGTGGTTCTGTGACAGAGCCTGAACCCAAACTTGGCAATTTCACTGCTATCTCGTGCTCTTTTTATCCTCTCGACATCACTCTTAAAAACGAAGCCTCGAGCTGTGGCGGTAGCTCAGTGGTAGAGCACTTGCCTGCCATGCGGAAGGCCGACTTTGACCCCCAGCACCACAAACAACACTGATAAATACCTCTCCAGGTCTCGGTTGCCTGCCTCCACCCTGAGGTATGCTCTTCCTTGGCTCTGTGTACCAGCTGTTTCTTTTGCTTTTAGGAACTGGTTTACCTAAATATTTTATTGTACCCAATATCAAATTGTAAATGCTCCAACAAATAAAACTTTTGGCTGTTTTAACCCTTTTGCTCGCTTCTGATTTCCCATCTAAGCAACATAGCTGGTTTACGATAGAATTACCTAGATAACAGCACTGATGTCCTCCACAAAGAGCTGTGGCTCAGGAAACTTGTTCCAGATTCTTTAGAGGACTACAGGAAGTCTCCCAAACAGCACAGGAAAGTGGGCTTTCAAAATATTGCACAGTAAAGCTGGGTATTGTGGTGTACGGCTGGAATCCCAGCACATTGGGAGGCTGAGGCACGAGTTTCACAAGTTCAAACCCAGCCTGGGCAAGTTAGCAACTCAGAGAACCTGTCCAAAAATACAAAACAAAGAAGGGAATGTAGCTCAGTTCAAAGGCCCTGGGTTCAATCCTCTAATCTCCAGTACTACAAAAAAAGAAAAGTTGTTCATTACAGTTTCCATATGCTAATGCCATAATCGTATTGTTTCTAAAATCACATGTGTGCTTATATGAACATACAAACATACAAAAATTAGAGTATATTTACTGATAAGTTGTTTTTGCTGTAATATTTCATGCAAAACACCAGTATAAAAGGCACTCAAAGATCATATAGCACACAGGGAATTTATATAACATCATGTCTTAGCCTTAGGCCTGGGCTAAAAATCACCATAAAGTCTTCTTTGTCCTGATTTTGCTGGCCAGCACTCTGAGCGCCTGTTCTGCATACCAACTCAGGATAGCCGGAGAATCAGCCACGATCAGCAGGAATTTTATTTGTCGGGGCCCCCAAAACCTCATAAAATAGTGGCTTTCGAACATCTTGGCTATCTCTGAGGCATGGGGATGGGAGACAGCCTCCACACATAGAAAACACAAATGGTGGGAGGGGAGTTATATGATGTGTAAGATTCCTTTCCTAGGAGTTTATGTACGCGGCTAGATTTTCCTTGATCTGCGTACAGGGAGCCCTTAAAAGGAAAACTAACTATTGTCTCTTTAAGTTTTGTCTTGGGTTACTGACCAGGAAGCATTAAAAAAAAAAAATCTTCCTTTCTCCAATCCCTCTCCCAGGCAAGGCCAAAACATGATTCTGAAAGGAAGGAGCACTTTGGCCCTCTCACTGCTTGCTCCCCTCTCACATCCAATCTCAGAAGCAAAGCGCATTTTTGGTTGTGGAGACTCTATTAGATCATCAGAGGGAAGACGGGGCCCACTGCTTTGTGCTGAAGAAGTCAACGTGGCCACAATTAAAGAGGCAACTCGGTGCTTCATAGGTCTGGCCGTAGGCGCGTCCACTTGGTTCGTGTTTGCACATCTGTACCTACTGGCATGCACAGCGATGGAGAAGAGCTGCTAAGCCACAAAACTGCACCGGCAGTGCCAGGAACTAGCGCACCTCTGCAGGCCTGTGGAAAAGCTCTGTGGAGGACATCACCAGGCGCTTGGGGCAGCCGTGCCTACGAGATAGCCAAGAAAGTCACTTGCAAACAGTAATTCCCCCAGCTACTTCCCAATTCCATTTATATGGCCAGCATTACTTTGATACCCAAACCAGACAAAGACATAAGAAAATTCCAGACCAATATCCTTCACAAATATTGATGCAAAACATTAGCATATATATTCTAGCAATACCAAAAAAGGGCAAGGGTGGTGTCTTCACACAATAGAAAACTACTCAGTATTAAAGGACCAACTACTGCTACCCATAACATGCATGAAACTCAAAAATCTCCTACAGAGTAAATGAAACCAGACCAAAAAAATTATGTGTGTGTTGTAATAGACACAGATATGTATGATTCCATTTAGATAAAATTATAAAACAAAACAAATTATGTGCAGAGTGACAGAAAACATACCTGTGGCAGACTAGGATGGTGGGGATAGGGGATGGGGTTTGTTGGCTGGGGCCCAAGGAGACTTTTGGGTGATGGAAATACAAATCAGTAAGGATTTTTGCTATTGTTTTGCCCTTGTTTCATGCTGGGATTTGAACCTAAGGCCCTGTATACGCCAACATGCTCTTCAACCACCAAACTACACCTAGCCCAGTGATGGAAATATATATCCTGATAGTGGTAGTAGTTATATAGATATATAAAAATTTTAAAACTTATCACAATGGAACTTAAAATGGTGCATTTTATGGCATGTAAAGTGCAGCTCAATAAAACTAGTTTTTAAAATTTTTTTATTTTGAAGAGAAATAAAACCAAGTGAGACAAAAGCAAAATAGAGTTAGTCGAAACAAAAGGATAGATATAGTACATGACTTAAAAACAAAATGCAAGGTGATCAACAATGGTTACCATAATGCCTCTTGTTATCTTCAAAAGAATTAACCATATCATCAGGCATAATAAAATTGAATAACACAGTACAGAACAAAACCAATAAAAACAAAACATTGGACACATTCTAGGACTTCAAAGAAGATAATAGTCAAACCAGAATGGGTATCAGACTTGATACTATACCTCAGACTTGATACTATCAAACAAAACATAATTGAATAAAATCAGCCAAAACAAGACCATGAGAGCAATACAGGGCTTCAAATCAAGTTAATAGGAAATCAAAAATGCTTACCATAGTGTATCCTGCTATCTTTCGAATAGCTGTCCACGCCATCACATCTAGTACAAGTAGACAAACTGGAACAGAATAAAACCAAACTAAACAGAAAGATGAAAACAATACGGGTTTCAAATCATGATAAAAGATTAACAATGGCCACTGCTTTTCCTTTTTAGACAATTCCTCCCCTTTCACTTTCACAGGGTGCATTATACATTTTGGATTCCACTAACTCCTTAGGTTTTTAATTTAGGGAGGCAACCTGCTATTTACCTAAGTGATTCTGAAACTTTTTACCCCTGCACATGATCTCAAGTTGTATCCTCAAGGTTTTCCTTCTTTATAGCTGAGTAGTTTTACATTGTATAACTGTGTCGAGGCTTTCTAACCAATCTGCAGCTGATGGGCAAGCTACCCCCACTTTTTTCTGGTTCCCTGTCACATAGAGCATCATTTTCTCATCTTGGCTTTCAGTTTATAAACCCTCTTTCAGGTTAATTATACTTCTTATATAGAGCATATTGATGGACCCTTTTTCCTGATTTGCTCTGCCTGTGTTTCTTTTTATTAGTGTATCGAAGCTATCCATCTTAGTGATTATGGCCAACCTTCGCCTCATCTCTGCCATGCTACTTTTCTGTTGTTCGTTGTCTACTTTTCCTTTTCATTCCACTGTCTGCCCCATTCACTGAGCCCCCTCTGTCACTGTTCTTGAAACCATGGTCTCTTTTTCTCCCTCTCTAGAATGTCCAGTATTTTTTGTACGTTGGATTGGTTACAAACTCCCTGAGTTTGTCTTTGTCTTGTAAACATCTTGCTTCCTCATTAATTTTTTTTTCTTTTTTTTTTTTTTTCATTTTTATCGGTACCAGGGATTGAACTCGTGACCGCCTGCTTGCAAGGCAGGTGCTTATGCCGCTGAGCTAAACCCCAGCCCCTCCTCATTAATTTTGAGAGATAGTTTTGCAGGGTACATCAATCTGCGTTGGAGGTTATTTTCTTTCAGGACTTGGAATACTTCACTCCCAGATCTTTTTGATTTGATGATTTGTGTCACAAAGTCTGTCATGATTCTGATGAGTTTTTCTTTATAGGTGATCTGTTTCTTTTCTCTACAGCTTTTAATATTCTGGTCTTGTATTGAATTTCTGGGATCTTGATTATTATATGTCTGGGTGTAGATCTGTTTTGGTTCTAGCTGGCTGGAGTTCCGTGTGCCTCATGTATCTGAATATCATTTCCTTTTCCTACGTTTGGGAAGTTTTCTTTTATTATTTCTGTGAATAGCCTTTGTAGTTCCTTTGTGTTTACTCCTGTTTCTTCACTCACATTTTTTATTCTTAAGTTATAGATCCTCTTGTCGTCTTCTAGCCTTTATATTGTTACTTCCTGGTTCCTTGTTATTTTTAAGAGATCTTTCCTTTCACAAGATCGCAAGCTGTAAACCTGTCTTCAAGGTTTGATAGTCTATCTTTAGTTTCTTTCAAACAGTTTTGCCACCTTTCAATGGAGTTTTTAATTTCCTGGTAATCTCTGAATCTGTTTCATGTATTCGAATTTTTTAAATATTCTTCATCGAAGGTTTCCTTCCTTTTTCTATGCTCCTCTTCCATCTGTGTGTTCTTTAAAGGTGCTTAGCAATTCTTTTATTATGTTTCTTATGTCTTCTTTTATCTGTAATATTTCTGTTGTAAGTTCTTTTACAGCCTCATTAAGTTTTTTTTTTTTTTTCAGTTGCTGTTGCTTCAAAAACTGCAGGTGTGCAGCTCCCAATCCCTTCTGTGTTTATCTCTCCTGGACCAGTACTGCTTGGTTTGGAGGCCAGAGACTGCCTTTTGCTTCTTCCTCTTGTCATGTTCCTGGTTTCTTCCAGACAAGTGGGTAATGGAGTCCCCGGCAATTTCTATATTGGTTATAATTACTCTGAAGAGTGTTGGCTAGGAATTTTTTGCTGTTTGATGCTTTTGGGCTGGGGATTTAGCTCAGCAGCGTAAGTGCTTGCCTGGCAAGCGTAAGGTCATGAGTTCCATCTCCAGTACCCCCCCTCCAAATTGTGTTGTTTGCTGCTTTTCCCAGTCTGCTGGTGACTACTGGCATGTAAGCAGGGATGGGGCAGGCTGGCCTCCCCCTTCTGAGCTGGTTAACCACAGGGAGTTTTCGCCATGGGTGAGTGGGGTTGGTTAGGGATAGCGTTAGGGCAACCTAGGGGTGGCTCCTGGACTATGCACAGGGGTGGGACTCAGTCCAAGCAATTTCCACCAGTCTGCTTTAAGCGAGGAGTGGCTGAACAAAGCCGGCTGCAGTTCTGGTTCCAGGTTTATTCTGCCCAGCACCAAAATGGTACCTGACCAACTGCCCACTCACACAGGAGGACTCAGTTCCCCACACTCACCGCCAGCCAGTGCAGTCCTCTGGTCCACCGCTCCCCTCTGCCACCGCATCTCCCCACCAAGGCCTTCAGGCTTGCCAGCCACCAGCTGCACTGTGACTGTGCACAGCGCTTACTGCACAGTGGGACTGGCTCTGGTGAAGGCGCTGCTGGCTACTGCCTTCCTTTTAAGTTTTTTTTTTCTTTTTTTATTATTTCTGTGAGCTTCAATTCTCACTTTAGTTTCTTTCTCGGTCAAGGGGACCCACTTCTTTCCTTTTTGTCTTCTCCAGAAAGCTATATTCCAGAATCTGGGCTGTTTCACGCAGAGAGGTTGTTTACTCTGCTGCTTATTGTTCGCCATCTTCCCAGACTCCTAAAACTAGTTTTTTTTTTTTTTTTTTTTTTTACCGGTACCAGGGATGGAACTCATGACCACACACTTGCAAGGCAGGCACTTACACCACTGAGCTAAATCCCCAGCCCCTAAGCTAAATCCCCAGCCCCCTAAAACTAGTTTTAAAAGCAATCTAAAACTATCTGGTCTAATGGGGGATTTAATCTTAAAAGGCTTTAATGTTTAGTAGTATTTGCAGTTTTCCCAAAGAGCTCTGATCCTCCAGATGAAAACACTTCTAGAGCGGGCAGAGTAGCTCAACGTGAGACCACGTGAATGGCATGTGCAAGATCCTGGGTTCAATCACTAGTACTATAACAAAACAAAACAAAACTTCACACCAAAGATTCTCATTGGGAACAGCATAATATAATTGAGCCAAACCAGAAGAACCCTCTAATAACTAACCAGAAAAACACATTTCATAAAAAATCCATGAATGTAACCAGGGGGTGGCTGCAGATGCTTGAGTTACAGCTAATCAGGAGACCGAGGCAGGAGGATCACAAGTTTGAAGCCAGCCTGGGCAATTTACCCAGACACTGTACTAAAAACAAACAAACAAAAAACTCAGAAGTGTGGTATCCCTTGATGGTCCCTGAGATCAGGACTCCACACTTACAAGTGTTAGGTCCCCTCTTTCAAATTCTGACAGACTTTTTCCCTTGGCAGGACTTTCTCCTGAGAAGCTTCTAAGAACAATCTCAGCTTGCAGATAACAACCAGCAAGAAAATGGGGACCTCAGTTCTGCAACCACAAGAAACTCGATTCTGCCAATAACCCAACTAAGCTTGGAAGTAGATTCCTCCCTAAGCCTCCAGAAAGGAGCTCAGCCTGCCAGCAGCCCCTGGTAGTGGGTCAATAAGAAGCAGAACAGAGGAGACAACTGCATGCCAGTATCCTATCTCTACCAAGAGAACTCAAAATTTTCTGAAGTGGGGGGAAAAACTGTGATATTGGTCATTTGACAATATTGGAGTCTTCTTCCTTTTCAAACTCACTTGATACAGACTTCTCACTGGAGGCAACACAAGCACATTTATATGAGGTTGGCTCAATAGATTATATTTTAAAATAATATGACTTTGCTCTTGTAATTGCATTCACTGTTTGGATTTGCAAGTCTGTAGCTCCAAAGAGTTAATGCATCTCTTTAAACATTTAACTTCTTCCCAGACATTGCCGGAGGCACTGAGAAGAGAGGAGTATAAAGTACTGTAAAAACTGAGCTGTGAATTATTATTGCATGAAAACATTTCTAGGCCTCTCTGGGTAAATTTGTTCTAATACACTACAACCTGAGAGGAGACAGACCAGGCACCATGATGTTTTAAAAAGATTGCCCATCAAAACAGTACAAAGTAGACAAGTTTTCATTTATTTTCTTTGGAACATTCCAACTGGCAGCCGTACTTGTTTGGTTAATGGAATATTCTTGACTCATTAAATAGGCTCATTTAGGGGAAGGAGCCACTGTGCGTGGGATAGAATGTGGAGCCAGCCTTGCTCTCCATTGGCATGGTCTCCGAAAGTGGTGCCTTTCCAACCGTCCTCACAGACACTGTGTGGACGCCGTAAGTGGAGAATCATGATGAAAGACAGCAGCGAAAGCAGCATGAAAGAAAGATTGTCAGTCGCAAAGAGAAGGAAGTTAAAAGCTAGGACCTCTTTTAGGTACCCTCTTGGCACCTTGGGGTAGGGGTGGGGTCCCCCTAGACATCAACATCAGGCCTCCCTCCAAGCTGACCACACTTGCACTGGGACCTGCCATTACCTCTGCATATTCATCTGCCCTGAGCTGCTTATTCCAAAAGCAGTCACAGCTCACGTCCAGGACCCCTGGCTGAATGACTTCATGAGAAGACGATTAATCTGTTCCAACCCTCTGAAATGTGAACTACACAGTTCTCTATATTGTTTTCAAGAATAAGTGTGAATTCTAAATTTTGAGAGATGTATGGACTTTAATAAAGCTGTAGGAACTTTTAGTTCTAGAAAAATCAAATTCCATTACAGCAAATATAATAGTGACCCAAAAAATAATCCCAGAGTCCTAGCAGAGCCCACTTATTTCTAGCAGTATTTAATATGATGTAACTCAGGGCCCAGGATTTAGCTCAGCAGTGCAAGTGCCTGCGTGGTGGGAGTGAGATGGTGACTTCAATTCTTGGTACCAAAAACAAGAGGTAACTTTAATATGATGTCACTCTCAGAAGCCAAATATTGAAGTTGGTCTGTTAACACATTGAGAAGAAAAATCTTAAGTATTGGCTTTTTTTGGACTAAGTATTCCCATCAATGATTGATAAATGTACAGCACTTTAACAGGTTTTCTATCAAGACCTACTTCTCTCTTAAATACTGTAGCCATAATTTGTTACCGATAGGTCACTTCCATCCTCCTCTGGCTTTATCTTTCCATCCTATCCTGGCTATGTCCTCTGTCTTGATGCCTATTCCATCAAAGTGGCAAAGTGGCAGAGCACTTGAGACCAACTCAAACTTTCAGGCTGCGACAAAAGCAAAGAGAAGTCAATTTGGGAACAACAGCCCTCTCCCTCCACACACATGCGTGCATGCCACACACGCATGTGCACAAGGCACAGTTCTGGGTTCTTCAGGTCCATCAAGTCCAGGGTTCTTCCCAAGACTTTAAACACATGGCCAACAAAATTCATTTCCCAACTTGAAGCAGAAAGAATAAAGTTAACTGAGAAATGATAAAGCAGGACTTTAACTATTCAGCTTCCAAAAATACAAATACAAGCAACTCTGTTCAAGAGAAAACCATGCAAGCTTTGCTTTGTTCCTATGTGTGAGTCTCACCCTACAATATTATAAGCAAAAATTAGGCATCTAAGAAAAGGCAGGAAAACCCCTACAAGATTTGCCCTTTCCCTATTTTGTTTATTCTGCCCAGAAAGAAGGGCATGAAGTCACAAAATTATACTCTAAGGGTCAAAACTTTTAAAATTGCACTCTGTGTTAAATAAACAGTCTGAAATACTGCCATTTGTTAGAGAAGAAGGTAAATCCAGAATTAGTGAGCCTCAAATGTCCTTTGTGGCTATCTGTGACTGTGAATGGCAAAGTTCCAGCCCTAGAAGGTATTAGCATGTGTAGGTGTGGATCTGCTTAACTAGACACCTCATTTAGGGGTGACTTCTTTCCCCAGCACCTGGAATTTGAAGGGGTTTGCCAATAAGGACCAAAGGGAAGTATTCGGGAAGAAGGCTGATGGGAAGAACCCTGAAGTCCTCCAGTATCAATGCAAATACAAAGAACCCAGAGTCCCAAGTCCCCAGGATTACCCTAAAGAGAACCATGCTCTCCCAGAGCGCTCCTTTCTGTCCTCACATCCCCATTCTATCTCCAAACAACAGGCTCCTTTTGTAAATAGAATTATCTAAAAGGCTCTCCTCTGGAGGTGAATGAACCCTTTAGAAGGGTGGGGATCTGACCTTGGACCCATCCAAGCTCTCATGAAAGACTTGTGCATGCAACTGGCATCTGTGCCGCTGAGCTGCAGAGGGGTTTAATGTTTAGAGATGCCGTTCACCTCCTTCAATCCTGCTCTATCTTCTGTGGGTTCAGAAGTCTCTGGAACAGAAAAGGTATGGATCATGGGAAGTGGCTAATAGATTGCTCGCTGGAGAGTCCAGGATTCATTCTTTAAGACTATTCAGACTGTGAAAAACAAGAAAAGATTGAGTAGCCATCAGACCAAAGAAACTGGGGAGCCCTGACAGATAAATGCAAAGTGATTCCTGACTGGATTCTATAGGTTGCTTAATCATGATACACCACGGTCTCTTAGATCCGATGAAAGTACCATGGTAATTAAAATAAGGTGTTAACAATGGGAAAGCTGGGTAAGATGTACATACAACATACTCTGTACCATCTTTGCAACTTTCCTTTAAGCCTAAAATTATATCAAAGCAAACAACGAAAAAATCGTAAAAAAAAAAGTTTATGAAAAACCAACAAAGTCTATGATAATGGCACAGCAGAATAAAAACAGCAACAAGACGTACTTAGTATTTATATAGGCTATGAGCCTATATATACTAGGCTATTAGCCAAGTACTGGATCACATGAAATTCTAACAGTCCCCTCAGCAAGTCTATGAGATGGACACTAATTCTACCCTCGCTCTACGGTGAGGGAAATGAAGTTTAGAGAACTTAGTTAGGCAGCTGGTGTGAGTCATGGAGCTGGGAGGGGGCAGAGGAAGGATTCAGACCTGGACAAAGTAACTGCAGAGCAGTGCTTGTGTGCGCTGTGCCACTGCACAGCCCTTCTGCCATTTCTGGTCTCTATAAGCTGGAGAGCGCTCCCTTGAGAAGCAATTCAAAAGGCAAAATAGTATCTGACAAAGAAGCAGAAGTTGTTGGCAGTCTCTTAGAAGGCTGAGACATAGGTTGCATTCTGCAACGTCCTCCTGGTTATCACAACTTTGTGCACATTTTAAATGAGAGAAGTGATCATAGAATATGGTAAAACTACAGAGAAGGCTTCCAAATGAAAATCAAACCCCATCTGATGTATTCAACCTCTAGTTCTAATGTATAGAGTAAAGAGAGACCTATGACAGGTCCACATGAATGACACAGTTCATGGGAGTACACTTGTCTGGCTTGTGTGAGGCCTGCGTTCAATGCCCAGCACCACAGAGGAACAGAGTGTGCATCAATTCATGCACTGCTTTGTTCATCATGTCCTTGAACCTGAGAACCCTGATTGCCCTTAGAACTTTATAGAAATAATTATAGAAAGAAACAAAAGCCAGACTACTCATAGCATTGTCCTACAATTTAGTTCCTGCAGCCAGCAACCTACGAGATAGAATAAAGTGCAAAAGGTCAGAGAGCTCAGGAAGGTGTTATCTGAGTTCTAGGCTGATGACCCCTGGGGCAGGCTGCGGAGGCCAGAGCGGTTTCAGCAGCAGCCCAGTGCCTTTAGCCTCATTTGAGCCACATCAGTGGTCCATTATCCTGGGAGTCAGCATATAGTTCAGTGAAGAAATAATTAAATTCCATATTAGTTAAAAATGTTTTCAGCTGCAAGTAACAGAAAAGTTAACAAACAATGGCAGGTTGACTATAAAGACCTAATTTCTTTTTGTGCATGTAAGACTATGGATCAAACCCCTAGGCCTTGCACATGCCAGAAAGCACTCTACCACTGAGTGCCTGCCCAAGCCCAGGACATTTATTCTTTTTATAAGATGTATTTTTAATAGTACCTATTACTTTTATAAAATGTTGTATTTTAATATGACATCTTCCCACAAGTACATGCATATAACATAATTTGATCACATCCATTCCCTCTGTTACCCTTCCTTTCTTCCCTTCCTCATGTCTAATAATAGCCAGGACATTTTATTCTTAATGAGAAGTCGGGAAATGGAGCATCTCAGGACTCATTCAGCAACTCAACAATGCTGTGAGGGTTGCAGGTCTTAGCCATACTGTAACAGAGAGGCTTTTGCCTGCTAATACTTTTCACTTGTTGACAGATAGCTGCATAGCTCCAGGCATCAGCATCCTTGAATATTGAAAAGACAGAGAAGGAGATAGAGCTTTCTCTTCACAAGGGCCTATTGATCTGACAAGAAAATTTAGCCCCTTATCATCCTGTAGATTTCTCCTTTGGTATCAGTGGTCAAACTCAGTTTAGTTTCTGTTGTGGGCTAGATGGTGTCACCTACAGATCTGTACAGTGAGGCTTTAGTCTCCAGCTCCTCATCACATGACTTTGGAGAGAGTGCCTTTATAGAGATTAAAGTGAAGGTATCCAGTAGACTCTAACTCAATATGACTGCCACTCTTTTAGGAAGAGGTAATTTGGTCACACCGAAAGAAAGCAGGGATACACCTGGATGAAGAAGAGATCCCTTGAATGCAGATCAAGCCAAGCAGAGAGGCCTCCTGAGAAACCAGCCTCACCAACCCCTTGATCTTGGACTTCCATCTTCCAGAAACAGGAGCAAACACGCTTCTGTTGCTGAAGGCACAGGTCTGGTATCATGTCGTGGGAGCCCCTGCCAATGAATATAGTTCAACAGAGCTGCCACAGCACCTATGGAGAGGGCATTCGGGCAAAGCAAATGATGTGGCCTGATTGTCCCAGCCTGGACATTCTAACTCATACAACCAAATGGTGAGTAGCTCAGACAGGTGACTAACAAGGTTCATCCTAATTCTTGAGTAGAAAGCTTACACCATCTTTCCCCCGCTACTTAGCTGAGATAGAGGTGAAAGCTGTCACTCCAGTTTAGTGAAATGGATATGATAACTAGCAGTTATTCATTTTCTTTCCTGTCAGCTCTGAAACTCTACATCTAAATGACTCTCTGCAGAAAGGACATATATTTCTAAACTGCAAGGCCTTTATAATATTCTCGATGTTTCATTCCAACTTCCAAGTATCAAATAGTTTATTTCCTGAAATAATCAATAAATTTGAATCACCTTTCAAACATTTCCAGAGCCCTAGGAGCCACGACATTAATGAGCTATAAACACACACACCCCTCGCCAAAAACTGAAAGATCTGACATTTCCCTATTCAAGTATATAATTCCAAAGGGCAAAAATGAAATATAACCATTTCAGTGATTCCATAGGCCACTGTATGTACTAGCAGTGAGTGCTTGTTGTGAATGAATGGAAATCAGAACCTTTAGGGGTCATTTTAAGATCCCTTCATTTCACAAAGACTAGTCAAATACTAGCAATTAACTTGTTCTTTCTGGAAGATGGGTTTCAGCATCTTTAAAGTCAGTGAAGAGGCCAATTTGCCCTCCCTGTGAGCCAGCAGTAGTCATGCAGGGCCAGGAGAAAGAACAAGAAGCCAATTCACCCTTCTGGGAGACAAGAAGACACACTCCCCCACCCCATCCCATAAGCTGATTTGGAGGAACGCAGGCTGAGCTCATAGCAACTGAAGTACAAAAACAACTTAATGCTTGTGTTGTTTGATTGACTTTGCAGGCCTAAAGCCAGTAGTCTAAGCATCTATTTAGAGGATAATAATATGCCATGCAGCAACTATGGGAGATTTCCTTCTGTGTCGTTTATGAAAACCGATCTTGTTCTCACTGTTTCATTTTGGTCTGTTTTCTTTAGTGTTCTGTTTTGTCTGGTTTTATTCTATTTTGTTTGATTTTATTATGTCTGATGGTATGCGGGGGAATTTTGAAGATAACAAGGAGCATTATGGTAACCATTAAGATTTTCTATTAACCTGTTTTGAAATCCTGTATCACTTTTACTGTTTGTTTGGATTGGCTTTATTCAGTTTTATTTTGTTTGATTTCATTCTCTTTAAAATAAAAATAAAAAATAAATTCAGTGAAGAATCAAATTCTTTTCTTTCCTGAAAATCATCACATATAAAGAAAGCTAACTTATGAAACATTTTCCTTATGTTAAAACATTTTACTTTCAAAAGTACCTAGAAGAGATGTATTAGTCAGTGAATACTGTGAGAACCGATTAGGCACACAGGAAACAAAGTTTGACCTCCTCTTATATGATTTATTTTTCCCCTCAAAATTTTAGTTGGATTCAATGTAAAAAATATAAAAGATTAAAAATGTGGAAATCAGAAAAAGAAACAATTTGTAGAAGGATTTCAAGCATGTTTAAAAGAAAAATCCAGCTGAGGACATAACTCAGTGGTAGAATGCTTGCCAGGACTAAACAAGGCCCTAGTACTACACAAACACATGTGTGCATGTGCGCACATATGCACAAACACACAGCTTCAGTTTGCTATTAAAATTACTTATCAAAAAAATTGTTCTTCGTGGGCATCATTCATGGGCTGTGGAGAGAACAAGAAGCCAGCCACTTCCTGTGAGCTGGTGCCACGCGTGGACCATGGGGAGGATAACCAGATGCCAGACCCTTCCACACACAGGCTGGGAGACAAGACAGGCCAAGTTCTCCCCACTATTCCACTCAGTGACCTGTTGATAAGAGAAACACAGGCTGGGATGATAGCTACTGAAGTAAAACACAACTTAATGCTTGTAGTGTTTAGTGTTTCATCGACTTTGCAGGCTGAAAGCCGGTAATCTGATAATCTATTTATAGGATGGCAGTATGCAGTGTGGCATCTATGGGGGGGGGTCTTATTCTGAAGGTGGCAGCCATTGCTGATTCCCTATCATCTTGTTTTGAAGTCCTGTATTGTTTTCATTGTTTTGTTTGGTTTGGTTTATTCTGCTTTGCCTTGTTTGATTTTGTTATATTTGACGGCATGAGCAGCTCTTTCAAAAATAACAAGACATTATGGTAGCTATTTTGGATTTACTATTATCTTGTTTTAAAGTCCTACATTGCCTTCATTGTTTTGTTTTTATTGATTCTATTCTGCTGTTTTGTTTGATTTTCCTATGTCTGATGGTACAGGCAGCTATTTTGAAGACAATAAGAGGCACTCTGGTGGCTACTGTTGATTTCCTATTATCTTGCTTTGAAACCATGTATCACTTATATTGTTTTGTTTTGATTGGCTTTATTCTGTTTTAAGTCTTTAAAATAAAAAAAAAATCTTAAATTGTTTTCATTGCTGGGCATTGAAC